CTTCCTCAGTTAAACCTCCCTAGAATCCCTCTCACAGACCTCAAAATGTGTCTCCCAGGCGATTCCAAATCCGATCAAGCTTGCCCAATTAACCAGCGGGTGAACACCCTGTGTGCAGGCCATCTCCCCAACACCCCACAGCACAGACTCAGAGAAGAAGGTGCATGCAACCAGTAGCGGTGCGTTTACAACTTGAGAGAACAGCCCTCATGGCCCCAGACAATCCACAGAGCATTAGGATCCCCGTAAAAGAGCCTTATTAAAGCGCACACGCGTTAGCCACATGTTCCCTGTGGGCTAGGCTACATGCACTCATCCACACCCACTGGCACGTTAGCCGGTTTATTAGGTGCTGACACTGGAGTCTGGGAGCTTTTGTTAGAGGGTCAGAATGAGCATGGCGCTGGGGAGCGCTGAGCAGGCGCAGACGCTGCCAGGGTCCACTTACCACCACTGCACTGGGGGCTAATTACTGTCCCAGCTTTTTAGTAGGGGGGAAAATGGCTTTTCTAGGCTCAAATAACAGTAAGTGGTGGAGCTGGAATTCCGACGATGCCCTGAAGAAACTTGTTATTAGGCAGATATGGAAATAAAAGACCTCAAATAAGCCAGGTGTGGTAGTCTGGGCCTGTAATCCCAACACTTGAGATGCAGAGACTGGAGGATCGCTGTGTTTAAACCAGCTTGAGGAGTTCCAAGCCAGACAGGAGACCCTGAATCAAAGCAAAACAACCCTCAATATAACAATGATGAAACTGAAAATACAAAGATCAAGACATTGGGGCTGGAGAGATGACTTAGCTGTTAAGAGCACCGGCTGCTCTCCCAGAGGACGGGGGTTCAATGCCCAGCACCCACATGACAGATCACATGCTAGAGGATCCAATACCCTCACACAGACACATCTGCAGGCAAGACACCACTAATTTTTAAAAAAGATTAAGACATTAAACAAAAATAAAAAGATGTGAGAATCCCACAGACAGCGGCTCCATTTTCTTTTCTCCTCTTGCTCCACCTGCATTCACAAGAGTGTCACTGCTCAGGCTGCCCTTGCTTAGTGTCTCCCGGCAGCTCTGCTCGCTGAGCCTAGACCCAGCAGACCCTAGAGCCCTGAAGTGATTAATGGTGGGCAAGGAGAGCTTGTGGAAAGCTCCAGGAGAGACTCACAGTAAGACCCCACGGCCAGCAAGCGAGCCCTCTGTGGAAGAGAGCAAAGTGTCAAAAATTAAAGATGGGCGCCAACAAGATGGCTCAGCAGGGGCTGCTATCAAGGCTTGAGCTCAGTCCCCAGGAGCCACGTGATGGAAAAAGAAAACCGACCCAACAATGTGCCCCGTGACCTCCACCCATATGCTATGGTGCATGCATGTCCCCTGCCCTCACTAAGCAATATCCTATGCAATAACAAAAAATAAAGTAAAAATTCTGACCTGGCACCAAGAGACCATCCAGTCAAAACTGTCCATTGGAAGGTGAGGCTGGTGAGATCTACCAAGATATAAGGTCCATAGGAGCTCATCAGTAGTCCACTATAAACTTAGAACGGCACATTTGACCAAACACAGGCGGATCTGAAGTCAGACAAACTGCCTAAAGCCCGTGCCATCCATCTTTCCAGTAGCCTAGCCTCAGTTTATGCCAGTGGCTGGATGAGCTCCCGTCCGGTCAGCTGGAGAAGGAAGAAGGGCCGGAGCTTTGCTCACAAGAAGGTGGGGCGCTGTGTGAGCTTGCCAAGGGGGAAACTGTGGCAGCTTTGCTCAGGGGCAGCCTGGAGAGACCAAGGCAACCCCCCAACACTAATCATGAAGTTTCAGATTAAACAGTTGATCCCCAGCATTGTGCGGAAAGAGCAGAGGCCTGAAGTTTAAATCCATGCAACTCCTGGGCCAAGGATAAGCAGCAGGGTCTGGGATCTGGACAAAGTGTAAGCATCTTTACATCACAGGGAAGCACCCGCTAGGGACAGTCACTGTGGAGAGGTGCTGAACTACCAGGCAGACAAAAGGACCCAGGCGGTGGCATCAGCCGGCCTTCTGGATACCCAGGTGCTCTGTAGCATGGCCACAGAGCAGTGGTGGAGGCTACTCGTGAGCTCAGCTGCTTGGCGGCGTCTTCACAAGCCCCATCTAAGTACATCTGATTCTTCCTTCTCTTGAATGGCCAACCAGTTCAGAATGTGGGTGAAATGGGGTGTCAAGTCTCGCTCTGGTATGTGTCTGTCAGCAAGGCTGGAGACTTCTGTGTTCTACCTAGAACGGTTGAGTAAAGAAGACTTTGTCCGAGTGGGCAGAGCCGTGTGATTGAGGTTTTCTTTCTTTCTTTTTTTTCCTGTTTCTTAAAAGGACATTATGTTACACCTTTCCCTTTGGAGGTGACCGAGTTCCCCAGAAAGGCAGCCTCTGCAATACTTCCTGTCAGCCTCCCAGCTCTGCCATGCCAAACCAGCTCCTTCCTTACCAGGCCCTCTATGAGCTCAGCCTACAGGATTTCGAGACCGTAGGACAGCTTTCAGACAGACAGACAGTGGAGCCACATGATTAAGGGTCTCTCTCTCTCTCTCTCTCTCTCTCTCTCTCTCTCTCTCTCTTGAGAGAGGGTTTCTTTGTGTAGCCCTGGCTGTCCTAGAACTAGCTCTGTAGACCAGGTTGGCCTCGAACTCACAGAGATCCTCCTGCCGCTGCCTCTTGTGATGGAATTAAGGTGTGTGCCCCACTGCCCGGCTCTCTCTCTCTTTCTCTCTTTTTTTCTTAAAGTAAAGAATATATTATAGAAAACCTAAAGACATTCATAGCAACTCCCCTGCCTCCCTACCCCCCAGGAGACGTTTTGAGAAGTAGATGTTACCACCTTTATCTCACTGGAACCTGAACTCAGAGATTTTATGGTTCATTTTGTCTCCGGTCACACAAGGTCCTGAGGGTGGGGCTCTCAGGACCCTGCATGTCGAATGGTTTGATTGGCCTCAGTCTTGGCTCTGATGGATCTGTGGTACGAGAGCCTTGGCCCTTTAGTGTTCTCTCCATCTTTGTGAGGAAAGGGAAAGAAGCTGACTTGGCATTTCTTGAGGAGCAAGGGAGGTGAGGCAGGGTGAAGACCTGTAAGCTGCCACCCAGGCAGATCTCCTGGGTGTGTAACTGCATTTCCTCACCAAGGGGATGACTACTCCTCCCGCCTCCTTATGTCTCTTGGTCACATGACTGACAGGCCCATTTGGGAGGAGACAATAGTATATATTGTTTTGGCCAGTTTAGAATGTCAGGAATAAACCTCAAATTCTATTCTTTTGACCAGGACAAAGTAGTTTTCCTTTTAAAAAAAAAAGTTTTTAAAGTTAATGTACTGGGAAAAAAAGTTACTGTGCTGTGTACATGGCACCTTCTGCTCTGTTGAGGCGGGGTCTCTCGTTTCTGCCACTGAGGAGTTGGCTCGACTCTAGCTGGTTCTCTGCTTCTGGGCAACTCTCCTGTTTTCACCTCCCATCAGGGCAAGAGTGCTGGGATCTGCCACAACATTGAAGTTTTTATGTGGGCTTCCTGTCTGGTTACTGGTGATGGGCGTTAGTCATCAGGTTTGCACCCCTAAGCTCTCACCCACTGAGCCGTCCCCCCAACCTTCAGCGTTCCTTTAGCAGCACTCAGCAAAGCCCTCAGACCTCGACATGGTCACATTGTGTCTTAAATCTTCCGAGGGGCAGCTGTGAAGCTTCCCTTTCTAGGGTTTCGGAGGAAATGAAAGGCGGGGTCCAGAGCTGATGAGGAAGGATGGGTTATTCTCGGTGACCTCTAAGGCTGCCAGTATCTGTCTAACAACCCAATATTCACACTCGTTAATTCTCTATTCTATTCCTTTAATTAAGAATTTCGGGATATTAGAACCACTACCCAAGTGGAATCCCAGACTCCTAGTCAAGCAAAGAGTCTAACCTGTAAATGAGATTAATCACATTACATGAGCTATTTTGTTGTGTGTTTTTTGCTGCATAACACATCACACTTGATGCCGGGGCATGGTGGCACATCCCTGCAATTCTAGTACAAGAGAGGAGGAAGCAGGTAGATCAGGACTTTGGACCAGGCTAGACCACGTGAGACCCTGTTTCAAAACAAGCCGTTAATAATGGTGCAACCTTTGTTAGCTCCCCCAGGCTCCTAGCCTCATGTTTATAGCCAGGTCACTCTCAGTGTCTGCCTTTAGGTTTGCTGCAAGGATGAGAGGAGAGGAATACCGTACCATGCTGAGTACAGGGCTTGCCATACAGTAAGGATCCAGGCAAGCTGTTATTTCCTAACAGATCACTTCCAAAGCGGAGCGCTTTGTCGGCCAGGCCAGCCGTTTGGTCCCTTCCTGCAGGGAAGGCTTTAATGGCTGCTGATTGCTCACAAGTTACATTTCCACGCACTCTGAGAGCAAGCCTGCCTGCTAAGTGAAAAATGCGATTCAGTTTATAAAATTTCTATTTTTGTTCAGCTGTTTTTAGAGCCCTCTTTTTCCATCGGTTGAGGAGTTGGACCAGATAAGCTGTGATATGCTTTGCCAATTAAAAAAAAATAATTTTCTCTGTTATATAAGACAAGGAAGCTATGTCTGTCTACTCAAGAATCTTTGGGGCTCAAAAATAAACAAAAGCAGATTAATATTTTACAGAGAACAATTTTTAGACCGAGAGTGTTGAGCCAAACATTTAACCTTCAACAATGAATGTCTTGTCAAGGAGAAGGTCATTTGTATGCGGCGTGCAATTCAGAGAGAAACAGATGCTTTCAGCCCATTCAGCAAACTTGAGAAAATCAAGAAAAATGAAAAATTAATTTTAAAGAGCCAACACATACTACACAGGGAAATTTAAGATCCCCAAAGTGGGCATTTATTTATTGTCTGACATTTCCTGGGGCCATGGGAAAATAGTCCAAATAGGGCACCAATCACAGACCAAGAAAGGCGTCCACCCAAGTCTAGATAAGCAAACCGAAACAGTTGACTGAGGTCACTTAGAGGAGTAGGGGTGACTCCCAGGCAGCTGTGCCACCAAAGGCTCACACAGTGGCAGGAGCTTCCTCCCAAATGGCTGGCCAGCTGAGCCACTGGAGAGGTCTGATCCCAGCATCTGATCGCTTTTAAACCTTTGTGGATCCCAGCCCTGAGAGTTTGGTTAGCTTTGGTCTTAGGAGCCTCCCTCCTCCTAGTAGGGAGTGCTTCAGTCGGAAGGAAGCAGCTTCGCAGCAGCAGCAGCAGCAGCAGCAGCAGGAGGAGGAGGAGGAGCGGCAGCAGGAGCAGCAGCAGCAGCAGCAGCAGCAGGAGCAGCAGCAGCAGCAGCAGCAGCAGCAGCAGCAGCAGGAGCAGCAGCAGCAGCAGCAGCAGCAGCAGCAGCAGCAGCAGCAGCAGCATTTGCAGAGCCCAGTTGATGAACGGTCTTAATCTCTGACAGGATGAAAATGGCTAAATACAACCCAGCTGATCCAAACGCTTAGAGAGTATGCAATCTTTTATTTTATTTTTTTTTAAATTTTTTTTAAGTGCATTGGTGTGAGGATGTCAAATCTCCTGTAACTGGAGTTACAGATAGACAGCTGTGAGCTGCCGTGTAGGTGCTGGGAATTGAACTCGGGACAGCTGGAAAAGCAGACAGTGCTAACCACTAAGCCATCTCTCCAGCCACTATATTATGCAATCTTTAAATGGTGCAGCATTGACTAGTTGTGAACTGGCTCTGAACTTCAAACCCAGGCGGAGACACTGTACCAGAAGCAACTCAATTTCTCTCTGCTTCAGATTCCTCATTGGGAAATGGGGGGGGAGAGATAAACTTATATACCTCAAGGAATTTCTGGGAGGGAGGAAGAAGGGTGGCTCTGGGGGAGGGGGTGAATAAGAACTAAGTATAATGACATATATTTGAAAGAGCCATAGGGAAACCCATTGCTATTTTCTAACTTTTATTGTTGTTTTTGTTTTTCAAGACACAGTTTCTCTCTGTAGTTCTAGAACTTACTCTGGAGACGAGGCTGGTCTTGAACTTAAAGATCTGCCTGTCTCTGTCTCCCAAGGAGTAAGATTAAACATACCACCACCTCTCAACTGCTCTCTATCCAACTTTTAAATTAACTGTAAAAAAAATGCTGGAGTTCAGGCTGGAGAGATGGCTCAGTGATTAAGAATGGTTGTTGCTTTTTCCAGAGGATCCAGGTTCAGTTCCCAGCACCCACAATAGGTGGCTCACAGCCTTCTGTAGCTTCTGCTCCAGGAAATCCAGTGTCCTCCTCTGGACATGCGCGTGAACATAATTGAACAAAAATAAGTCTTTAAAATATCTATTTTTTAGCTGCTCGGATTAAATGTAAAGTTATTCCAATAGTTGTCAAAAGATAGGTTTAATGGGGGCTGGAGAGATGGCTCAGAGATTAAGAATACTGATTGTTCTTCCAGAGGTCCTGAGTTCAATTCCCAGCAACCACATGGTGGCTCACAACCATCTGTAAAGAAATCTGGTGCCCTCTTCTGGCCTGCAGGCACACATGCAGACAGAATACTGTAAAGAAAGTAAATAGATAAATCTTTTTTTTAAAAAGATAGGTTTAATACAGGGTAGGTTATAAGATTCAATAACATATGGACAGCCCCCTCTTATTGGACTCCAGCATCCATGGGCTCAGTCAACCCCGGATCAAATATTTGTGGAGGGCTGGAGAGATGGCTCATTGGTTTAGAGCACCGGCTGCTCTTCCAGAGGACCCAGGTTTGATTCCCAGAACCTACGCTATGACTTACATCCACCTGCAACTCTAGGTCTAGGGGATCTGACACCTTCTTTGGACTCCCTGGGCACTAGGCACAGACATGGTAGACACACATATATGCACTCATATACATAAAATAAAAATAAGTCTTTAAAAGTTGTCGTGAGAATAAGAATTACGTCAGAAGTGAACATACACAGACTTTTCCCGGTCATTATTCCCACCCAGTACAAGGTAACAATTATCGAGGTGGCATTTGTATCACATTAGGCACTGCAAGGACTCTGATTTGATTTAAAGTACATGGAAGTGATTGGGGGAGAGCTCAGGAAGAGAGAGAACTTTAAAGTTTGTGGGAGGATGTGTGTAGGTTGTATGCAAATGCTGTACATTGGTTTATAAAAGGAAGTTTGCATTTAAAGATTTGGTGTCTGTTGGCAGCAGGGATCTTGGACCCAGTCCCCTGTAGCTGCTGAAGGGCGGCTGCACTGTGGCAGAACCCAGGTCCTTAGTTAACGTAACAGTTACCGTTTACCTGCCCAGTTAAGCTTCGAGGTTAAACTGTAGCTTACAGCATCTCTTTCAGCTGGGGAGCCATGTGACTAAATTCTGGAGCATAGGAAGCCCAGCCACTTCTTTGTTCAAGCTCGGGGTATTCAGCTATATGGGGGTGCACACTATCTGGAGGACAAGAAAGATCTCTCTCTCTCTTTTCCTGACTTTTAGCCTAGGTGTGGTTTCTTTCCTCTCATCCCACTTGACTCCGCAGATTTCACGGAGCCACAGGTAGATCTTTCCTTTACATTTTGGGATAACAGCCACGACAGCTCTGATGGAGCAACTGATACCCGATGCTCGTCACCACCGGAAAGAGCTATAAAAGCAGGGAAAATGTAAGACAGTTGCACAGAGGCATCAAACAACAGACAGTCTTTGGTTGGGGGCACGCACGAGACATTGGGCATCTATTGCAGGACTGAGTGCCGAACCGGAAGACCAGCGACTGCACGGTGTTGGCAAGATAGGCGCTTCAGCCAATCCAGAGTCAGTGCTGAGCACCAGGCTCTAGGACTGAGGACAACAGTCTATCAGCAGGGATTTAACTGGATGAACTGCCTGCCAGGAGAAGCAGGCAGAATCAAAGCCAGCAAATTAAGACTCAGGTGAGGTGGTGCTTGCCTATAATTCCCACACCAAGGAGGCCAAGGCAGGAGGATTTTTGTAAGTTAAAGGCTAGCACAGGCTATAAATTGAGTACCAGGCCAGCAAGGGCTATGTAGCAAGACCCTGTCTCAAAAACAAACAAACAAACAAACAAAAAACAGCAAAAGAAAGAAAGGAAGGAAGAAAGAAAGAAAGAAAGAAAGAAAGAAAGAAAGAAAAACAAAATAAAAAACCAAACCCAGAAAGAAAAGAACAGCATTTGCCAAAGCTTTGACTCTGGCTGGCTGTGCTGGTTCTAGAACACAGTACAGACAAGAAACACACAGACCAGCATGTTACTAACTCTTGGAGGAAATTTTGATTGCCAGAAATATTACAACTATGACCACTGATATCTGGGACTTCACCCACTCCTCAAGTTACTTCTAGGTCCCCAAGGATACCTGAAAGGAATCGGTTGAAATCTACAAGTCCATCAGCAGAATATACTCTGTGGCAGGGTGGGTGAGGTTTCATAATTTGTCTCCTCTGTTTTGCTCTTGGCTTCAGCCTGCTTTGGGGGCTTTCTGGGTCCGTACTTCCCTGCCTGCCTCTCTTCCTCGCAGTCTCAGAGGTAGGGATGATTCATCTTAACTGCCTGTGCTAGCACATCCCTGCATAGGTGCACCCCCAGGTAAGCCTTGATTTCTCAGAGGGCCAGTTTCCAGAAAAATAATCTCTTTTTTCTCCAAAAAGGCTGACTTTTGAGATTCTTGCCTGGTTGAATCTGTGAAGAACACAGTATGGACTCTTTCTCCCAGGAGCTGTGAGTCCTAACTAGTGCCTACCCCTTCTTTCCCCGGGCAATGAGCTCAGCCTTGGAAGACAGAAGTCGAAAGAGTGTGATTTAGAGAGGAAATAAAAATACATGGTTTAATATTGTTCCTCTTGCATATTTCATCTCAGTTTGTCACTCGTATTTTTACTTTGTTTATGGTGTCCTTCAAGGACAAGGTTTTTTTTTAGTATTTATGGTATCGAATCTGTCAGCTTTTCCTAAATGACTTCTGGGTTTGGTGCCCTGAATAAGAAATCACACTCTACCCTAAGTAAGGCTGAACATAATTTCCAATGGCCGCAAAATGTGCCATTGTGTAAATATGCAAATATGTCCTAATACTTTATAGATACATATTTAGGATGCGTCTTCTCTGTAAGTCATTGCAAACAATGCAACAGGCAGATTTGTGGATGTATTTCCCTGCTACAATTGAAATAATCTCTTTAGAATGGATTCTTAGGGTCCACAGGTTTCTTCACCATTCAAAAGCCTTAACTACAATTAAATATTTACATATTATAAAGAGGGAAACAAAACTAAAGTACCAGATTTCTCTTTTGTGTAGAAATGCCACTCAGTAGTGTGGCGCTATACATATATACACACACATGTATATGCATATGTATATGATATATGTATTTCAGGTTGATTAGAAGTTCCATTATTTATAAATGACACTGATTAATGATAATGATTAGGAAGTCAATTATTAGCTAACAAATACAATTTATTTGATAAACTAAATCTTTTCAAAGACAGAAGAAAACTTCACAACTCTTGTTTTATAAAGGAAAACACCAAGGAGAAAAACACCTCTTCCAAAACACCCAGTTAATTCCAGCAACCAGTCTCTAGATTGTGTGTGTGCGCACACGTGCATGTGTGTACATGAGCATTATGACACGGCCAGAGGACAGCCTTGAGTGTCTTTGCTCCTCAAATACCATCTACTTTTTTCATTTTCGTGCTGGGGAGTGAATTTAGGGTCTTACACCTTCTAGGTAGGCACTTTGCCGGTCCCTAATTTTGGGACACAATCCCTTGCTGACCCGAGGCTCACTGATTAGGCCAGGATTAGGCCAAGCAGCCCTGAGATCTGCCTGCCTCTACCTCCCCAGCACTGGATTACTCGTGCCCTCCTGCCGTCTGGCGTTCCCACAGGGTCTGGAGACTGAGGTCAGGTCCCTATGCTTGAGCAAGGAGAGCTTTGCCCAGTGAGCCATCTCCCCAGCCCTAGATTTCTTATTTGTATTGTCAAGCCTTCTTTTCAGTGAGTATAAGACACCATTCTTTTCCACTGCCCCGTTCATTGCTTCTGCTTCCTCCACGTGCTCTACTTGCTCTAAGTGAGGCCACAGCCTCCCTGGTGTCTGTACTGGACCAGAGGAGCTTCAACCAGCACAGGCCAACCATGGAAGCCACAGCTCCCCGAAGACCTGAGCGTGGACTGCTGAAGTGGAGACCAGCGTCCTTGTGAGACGCGGCAAAGTACAGCTTCATGAGCAGAGAGCACTGGTCACCCAGCTGAGATGCCCAGCACCAAGGATGCTGAGACAGTAGCATCCAGAGTTTGAGGCCAGCCTGGACTACACAGTGAGGTCCTGTCTCAAAATAAATAAATTTGTTTCTATGGGGGTGGGGGTTGTGTTGCTCCGTGGCAAACCTTGTGCTTAGTTAGCATCTGTGAGGCCCCGAGTTCAAATCCCCAGCCCCAGAAAAGTAAAATTAAAAATAAAGAAAAAAATTAGGCTCTACTGTCAAATATTTGCAGTTCTAACTCCCAGAGGTCTGCCTCTTGATAGCTATTGGATCTGAGCCAGCTCGTTTGGCTCCGAAGTTCAGCTTGTTTAGAGATAATGCTTGAACTTACTTTGAAAAACCAAAGGAAAGGATCAATAAGAAACATAAGCCACCTGATGACATAACCACCCACCCATCCTCTTGCTACCAGGCAGAGGCATGGCCTTTCAATCCGGTTGAGGGGGGTCTGGAACTGATTTCTCTCTTTAATAGAAGTAACATCCGAGGGTGGAAGGATGGTGCAGCTGCTAAGAACACTGATGGCTCTGGGGACAGGGGTTGGTTCCCAGCATCCCCATGACAGGTCAGACCCACCCGTAACTCCAGTTCCAGGGAGTCTGACGCCTTCTGCCATCTGACCTCCATCTCCAGGCGCTGAGGTGGTGTGCACACATACATGCAGGTAAAACACATACAATAAAATCATCTTTAAAAAATTATTTAAAACAAACATCTATTCTCTTAAAGTATTCTCTTAAAGTATTCTTTTAAAGTATTCAGTGTGGCCACTTTGGGGGGAGGGGAAGTAGAGATAGCTGGACCTCCCTGAGCAGGCTGTGGTCTCCTGAGCTTGATAACAACATGACACACACTTAAGCATCTGAAATGGTGAAGGCCACATATACTACCGCCCCACGACCCTGCAGGAGCTGAACACACCGCCTCACGGCTCCTTACACCGTTGCTCTGTCCAGTGTGGCCCAGAGAGGCAGTGTTCCAGGCTTGTTTTGGGAACAAGGCAGTCTTCCACCTCAACCTGCATTTTTTTAATGTTTTATTTTTTTTATTATTTTAAATATTTATTTATTTATTATGTATGCAATATTCTGTCATGTGTATGCCTACAGGCCAGAAGAGGGCACCAGACCTCATTACAGATGGTCGTGAGCCACCATGTGGTTGCTGGGAATTGAACTCAGGACCTTTGGTAGGCCAGGCAATGCTCTTAACCGCTGAACCATCTCTCCAGCCCCTGAACCTGAATTTTAAGAGGCAACCCAAATGGGTTAGCTTGTTCCATGATGGTCTGGGCTCTTGCAGCACTGGTTTTTGGTTTTATTATTCTTATCTATAATAATTTTACTTTAAAATTATGATGAAATGGCATTGTTTTTCCTCTTCCCTTTCTTCCCTCCAACCTGTCCCATGTGCCCTCTTGAGCTCTCTCAAGTTCAAAGCCTCCTTTGCTTTCATCGTTGCTACATGTGTGTAGTTATGTGTGTTTGTATATTATTACCAAATACATAATACAACCTGCTCTGTCCACATAATGTTACATATATGTCTATGATCTGAACACTGTCAACATGGCTGCCTAAACAAGACCTGAGTAGAAACAGCAATGGACATGCTAACACGGGAGGGGGAAGCCCAGGGGATTCAACCCTAGACAAAGAGCCGCAGGCTACTGTGGATAAATGGTCTCCCTGTGGGAAGGATCCCCACCCTCCACCAGCTGGTTATCCAGCACCAAGGAGGCAGCATTGTTTGTAATGGCTACATAGTTTCTGGCAACATGCTCCTACGTCACCACTTAACTGTTTTGTTTCACACAGTTCAGAGGGTGTCCCTGGCGGCTCTGAGGTCCTCCTCTTCCGGACAACTTCCTCGGCAGGAACCTGGGCCTGACACTGTGTACTTCCCAGTGCCTTTGGGGCCTCTTCTCGCCCTCACTCAGCTTCCTGTTCCTCCTCAGTCCCTCCATGCCCCCAGCCTGGTGCGGTGAACATTCCCGAGAACACCCCCACTCCTCTCGCACTCCTCTCTCACTCTCACCCCTCCACCCTCCACCCAGTCCCCCAGCCTCTGCCTCTGTCTACAGTTCCTCTCTCTGCTTCTCCATGGCCCTCCCAGTCCCACCTGCCAGGCACTATGCCCCTCCCTTCCCTACTTCCTCAATTCACACTTGCCCCCCAAATTCCAGTCTCTCTGTGGGAAAGGATGCTGTGGGTCCTCCCTGCTGTGTGTGCTGTGTGTGTGTGTTCCAAGGTAGGGCTGGGAAAGGTGAGAGAGCCTGTGTGCAGCTTGGGGAAGCCAAAGGCATATGGGGTCACTAGGCTGCAATGCTTGCCGGGAGGGCTGAGGCTCTAAGAAACAGCCTAGGGCCCCAAAGCCTAACCCACCCCAACCTAACAAATCTGACCCCGTGACCTCTTGGTGAGAAGGAGGATAGCCACTCCTAGGATTGAGGGCACACATGAGGCTCCTTTGGGACCAGACAGTAGACCCCCCCACCCCACAACACTAACGGGGTTCTCCTATTTAGATATTGGCAGGCACTTGGTGATACGCCTTCAATAAGCCTCCGTTCTCGAAGATCAAAGCATTCAAGTGTTTTAAAGGGACCCTTTCCTGCCGACCTGGTGGGCTGTGGTGGGAGGCACTGACGTGTGCTCCCAAGGTGTAATTAGAACGGCTCTCAACAAAATGCACTGCAATAGAGGATGAGTCCAAATGCTTTATACCTTTCGATTCTGGAAGTCTACTCACGGAGATGTGTCAAAATGAACCAAATATAGACCCCAAGTTCTTTATACGGGCAGCTATCCTTCATGGCAAAAAGCAAAAGAGCGATAGAGTTAAAAATCAGAATCAGCAAGGCAGGAGTGGATGAGTACTATAGACCGTCCCCAGCTGGGACAGCCTGCTGCTGGTAGGGACACTTTGAAGCCTCTTAAGTTATATGTGTGAACTTCAGGGAGAGAAATAGAACATAAATATGTATACACAGAGTGATCACAGGCATGTCAGAGAAGAATAGAGGCCTGGAAGGAGGCGCGAGAAATAGAATATAAATATGTATACACGGAGTGATCACAGGCATGCGAGATAAGAATAGAGGCCTGGAAGGAAGGAAGCGGAGTGGGAGGCTTTTCTTTAGAACAGAAAAAAAGGAAGGAAGAAAAAGTGCCATGCGATAGTTCAGAGCTATATTAAGGCCTATGGAATAATCCACCCACCAGCCAGCACTAGGGCCAAAGCTGACTCTCTGCTAAGGCCCAGGGGACTGTCCTTTCCTGAACCTTAGCCTCGCCCCAAGTGAGGATTCCTGAACTACGGGATGGGTATTTGGGCTAATGGTGACCTTAAATTCCTGCTCCTCCTCCTCTCCAATGTCGAGATTATAGACTGTCGTCACCACACCCAGCTAGAATACAGTTTTCTTTCTTGGTTTTTCTTTTTCAGAGAAGGCCTCACTCTACTGCCCTGACTGGCCTGGAACTCACAGCTACCTTCCTGCCTCTGCTGGGCTCAAAGCTTTGAGCCACCATGCTGGGCTGGAGTAGAATTTTAGC